CACTGAGCTCTCCCTCACTGTCTCAGGGACTAAAAAACACATTTCTGTGTAATTTTCCAGGAAAACATTCCAGGATTATTTCCAGGATATTTGTTAAATTTAATCAATTTCCAGGCTGGAAAACTAAATTTCCAAGTTTTCCAAGGATTGTGGGAACCCCGTCACCGAAGGTCTGACGTCAGGGTGTCCGACAGAGTTTAAGGAACCGGCGCCTCCTACAGGACCTTTAATCACTCTGCTCACATTACTGAGGGTTGTCTGATGAGATTAACGTCAGTAAATCTATAAATAAACTCGTCTCCATGATTCAACTTCACATTTTTAACTTCCTGTTAAAACACTCAGGAAATTCCCTCCTGCTGCAAAACCAGCAGTGACTCACCAAAGATACTTAAACACGTTCCTCCTGCAGCAGCAACACACACACACACACACACTGTCTCCTCATGAGGCCGGATTATAAATATGTATTTTGTGATTTCTGCCATGAAAGGTAAGAGTCTTAATTCAATAATTCCTTTTAATAAGCGTGTGTGTTTGTCCTGAATCTTTCTGCTTGTTTTCTAAAGTTGTGTCAAAGATGTTTTATTGTCTGAGGAGACGCTCCACTCTGTGTCTGCCTCCGTCTGCTGTTTGTTCTCATTAAACTGCAGCTGTGTTTATTATAATTAGCATTTATTATTATTATTTAGGTACTTTTTTGAGGTACTTTACTGGAGTATTTAGATTTTATGCTGCTTTACACTTCTGCTCCACTGCAGTTTATAAGCCAATATTGCACTTTGTACTCCACTACATTGATTTTAAAGCTTCACAGATTCAGAATATTAATACAAAATATAAATCAGCTAATTATTGATGATGTATTATTACAGAGCAGAATATAAAGTAATCAAAAATAAGCTCCGTATTTACCAGCTGCAACAGTAAAGTGATAATGCATCAATAACTATAATGCAATAATATATGATTCTGAAATGGATTATTATTATGGATATTTATTACTCATTATTACTCTAAAAGTGTTTACTTACTATAATAATTAGTTACACTACTAGTTATATTACTTACTCCAGTTTCGTTTGTTAAAATGAAATTAATGTGAATATTTCCAGCTGATTCCTCACCGGTTACAAACATGAATCCAGGGATGTGATTGTTGGATTTCAGATCAGGAGGAGGAAACAACAATGTTCATACACACAACAACCATAAATAAACAGGACAACATTATTCTATTATTACTGAAATATATCAGTAATTACACTACTAGTTACTTATTACAGTAATACATAATGAGTACTTTCAGTATTTGTACTTTACTTCCACTGATACATGTGTTCCTGTGTTTACTGCGGCGCTCAGAGACACGACACCTTCACTGATGGTGTAAACACTATTTTGGGAACCGTCAGTCAAATGAAATACACTGTAAAGGAATGTGATATGTGTGTGTGTGTGTGTGTGTGTGTATGTGTGTGTGGACGGGAGGAGGATGTCAAACATGGATGATGAGGATGTGGTTTTCAGAGCAGCTCGTGGTGAATGTAATGTGACAGTTGAGTAAATAAAAGTTGGTCAGGACGAAACCTGAAAGTGAGTCAGACCCTCAGTGGATGTTCAGACACAGAATAAGATATATAAATATATACAGTACGCAGTGTCAGTCCTCTGTATGGTGGCTGTTTTAGGACATCTCAGACTCAGCTGACTCTGTTTAATCAGTCGGTGTATTTATATTTTCAGTCGCTGTGTCAGATTATAACTTGACTGCACTTGGAGCGCCCTCTGCTGGCCGAATGGAAGGACAGGAGACAAAGTGTGACGGATAGTTGGGAATATTTCATGTTGTATTTTAATCTGTTGTGATTGTGTCTGGCTGCTACCTCGGCCAGGTACAACAGGACTTCATGGTGAAATAAATAAATGTATTAACTCTACCTGTCTGCTGTGAGCATTATGGCGCTATTTCGAAATGTGCGCAGTTTATTCACTGGATATACCCCCCTGGTGGCTGACTGCAGTATAGCTTACTGCCTTGAGTCAAATAATGTTTCCCAAAAATGGTTTCTGTAATTTGTGTTTGTTTGTTGAAATGATCATTTTTCTGATCGGGGACTTTGATAAAGCAGACTCTGGCTCC